CACACACACACTCACAGCAGTGATCACACACACTCACAGCAGTGATCACACACACACAGCGGCAACCACACACCCACACTGACAGCAGCCCCATCACAGCAGCCCAGCGTGGAAGCAGGCCAAGCGTCCGCTGATGGGCAAACGGTGGTCATGGTGTGGCCCATCCACACAATGGAAAATCACTGGCACTTAAGCAAGAAGGAAAATCAGACACAGGCTACGGCCTGGGTGGACCTTGAGGACATGCTGGCTTTCCAGGGGCTGGGGGAGGGGACTTAGAGGGCACAGACTTTAGTTCAGCCAGATGAAAGAGTTCTGGAGACGATGGTGGCGCGGCCTGCACGGCACTGTGAACTCACCTAATGCCACTGAACTGGACACCTGACATGGGCAAAATGGCAAATTTTACATTATGTATATTTTACCACAGTTAAAAAAAACCCAAAAAACTAGAGTTGACATCAGGAATCCATCGTGTCCCTCAGCACCTGTGTCAGGAGTGGATCTCTGTGCCCCTGATATGGACCTGCTCGTGGGTCACGTCATGTGCTCTGCTGAGGGAGCCGCTTTATTTCCGTCACAGCGGGAAGAGGACCCTGCCACCCCTCTCTTCGGCCCTCCGCAGCCACCAGCCTCCCACAAGGGGGTTCCTGGAGTCGAGGGGAGCTCCCTGAGAAAGCCGCACCCCCAGGTCTCAAAGGAGCCCAAAACCTCCTGGAAGCCTCCTGGGGTGCTGTGGTTGTGCCAGGAGTGTCAGGAAGGCCCCCTGTAAGAGGGTGGGTGACAAGTTCTCTCTCCCTCCAGGACAGGTGGGTACACATGAGTTTCTCTTTCTTTGACTGCACCTGCCCCTGAAGCACAGATGCTGGCTCTGAGCCAGATCGATGGACAGATGGACGCACGGCCACCCGCCAGCCTGGCGCCACCTCAACCCTTCCCTGCTGCACGTCCAAGGCTTGACTAACCCGCCCTGCGTTGTCCCCCGCCCTCCGACCCTGGGCAGTAGACCCGCGCCGCTCCCCACCTTCCAGGGGAGACCTGAGGTTCCTACCGGGGAGACAGGCTCTTCACCAAGCTCACGAAGTCGTGCTGGAAGGCGACGGCCTCCACCCTGTCCAGGTCGGAGGCGTGGTGGGACCGGACCAGCAGCAGGCCGGCGCTCCCGCTCAGGGGCACACGAGTGACCGAGAAGTTGTTCTGGGCGTCGTTCCAGTGCTGGAAGGTGCCCGTGCCCGAGAGCATGGGGACGGACACCGACGTGCTGTTGTCCACCCAAAACTCCTGAGGTCCAGCCAGCAGGGAGAAGCCCTTCATCTTCCCTGAAACCCAGACGGGAGACAGGAGTGGACAGTCAGCAAGCTGGGTGGGTGGCCCTCTCTCCCCGGCACGCTGCGGGCCTCACCGTTCTCCTGGCCACAGGACCTCACTAGCCCCAGAACCCCCAGGGCAGCTCAAGTGTCCCTCCTGCAAAATCCAGCCCCCAAAGCACTGGAATCTCAGACAAGGTGGCCGTGCTCTTGTCTGCTCACCCAGCACATACGGTCACCCTCTTGTCCAGAGGCCACGTCAGCCAGTGTCAGGGAAGCCTCGGGGTTGCACCCACAGCTCAGAGCACAGCAAGTGCACGGCAAGGGGTGCCCTGGAGCTCAGCGCTGCCTGCTCCTCAGGACAGCCCACGGGGGGCAGGAAGGGGGAGGGTCTACCATGTGAGGGACACTGAGGCCAGTCAAGGTCAAGAAGCCAGGCAGGTCAGGACAAGGTGGTGCAGGCGGACGAGTCGCCTGTCATCTGCAGTCCCCTGCTTCCTCCCGCCTCCCCTCCCGGCCCAGCTCTCCAGTCTGGGCCAGCGGGCGGGCACGCTTCCCAAGTGAGACCCCATTTCTCATGCTGGTGGCCCCTTCACCTCTGCCTTTTGGGAGCAGACCTTCAAAATGGGCTCTCCTCCCAGGTCCCTTGTAGGGACAGTGGCTGAACTGCCATCTGGGCGATCATAGCCTGTCCTCCACGCTATGACCAGTCAGCGCTGGGGCTCAGCAAGTCCCGTCTGTCACTCCCCTGCACTCAAGGGCAGGTGCCAGGTCTCGCCCTTTATGAATTTGCAGAGACTTGGGGACATCACCCCGGTCACATCCCTGTCACACACTTGCAGCCTCTGTCTCTGCAGCGCCGTCTCCTTGCTGTTTGCCCGGCTCTGTCCCCACAGGCTGCACATCCTCCCGAGTGAATCCAAGCAACGTCCCTCAAATGCACCCATCAATGCGGAGCTGCTCGGTGCACGTGCTCCCGCAACAGCGCACCTGGACTGTTGCACAACCTNCACACCCCAACACCACACACTCCAACACCACACTCTCCAACACCACACTCACCAACACCACGCTCACCACTACGCTCACCAACACCACACTCACCAACACCACACACCCCAACACCACGCTCACCAGCACCACGCACTCCAACACCACGCTCACCAGCACCACACTCACCAACACCACGCTCACCAACACCACACACCCCAACACCACGCTCACCAGCACCACGCACTCCAACACCACGCTCACCAACACCACACTCACCAACACCACACAGTCCAACACCACACTCACCAACACCACACTCACCAACACCACACACCCCAACACCATGCTCACCAACACATGGACCATCATGCAGAGGTTAGAGGTCCTTCTACAGCCTCCTGAGCACCCATGGACGTCTCCAGTGACTCCCAGTCCTCGCCTAGTGACATCACACACCCCCACACACAGCACTGATCACACACCCACACACACAGCAGTGATCACACACCCACACTCAGGGCAGTGATCTCACACACACACACACACAGCAGTGATCACACACCCATACTCACAATAGTGATCACACACACACCCGCACTCACAGCCGTGATCACACACACACACACACAGCAGTGATCACACACCCACACTCAGGGCAGTGATCTCACACACACACACCCAGAAGTAATCACACACACACACTCAAAGCAGTGATCACACCCACACACTCGCAGTGGTGATCACACACTCACAGCAGTGATCACACACCCACCCACACTCACAATGGTGATTGCACACTCACACACCAGCACTCACAGTGACAATCACACCCATCCACACTCACAGCGGCAATCGCACACACACACAGCAGTGATCACACCCACACACTCACAGCAGTGATCATACACGTACACTCATAGTGGTGATCACACACACACACACACACACCTGCACTCACAGCGGCGATCACACACACTCACACACACACTCACAGCAGTGATCACAGCCACACACTCGCAGTGGTGATCACACACCCACATCCACAGCGGTGATCACTCACCCACCCACACTCACAAAGGCGATTGCACACACACACACCTGCACTCACAGTGACGATCACACCCACCCACACTCACAGCGGCAATCACACACACACCCTCACAGTGGTGATCACACAACCACACAGTGGTGATCACACACCCACCTTCACTCACAATGGCGATTGCACAAACACACCTGCACTCACAGTGGCGATCACACCCACCCACACTCACAGCAGCAATTACACACCCACCCACACTCATAGCGGCGATCGCACACACACACTCACAGCAGTGATCACACACCTACACTCACAGCGGTGATCACACACACACACACTCACAGCGGTGATCACACACCTACACTCACAGTGGTGATCACACACCCACCCACACTCACAGCGGCGATCACACACACACATACACTCACAGCAGTGATCACACACCTACACTCACAGCAGTGATCACACACACACTGACGGTGGCGATCACACACACACCCGCACTCACAGAGGCGATCACACACACACATACACACACTCACAGCAGTGATCACACACACACACTCACAGTGGCAATCACACACACACCTGCAGTCACAGCAGTGATCACACACACACACACTCACAGCAGTGATCACACACACTCACAGCAGTGATCACACACACACAGCGGCAACCACACACCCACACTGACAGCAGCCCCATCACAGCAGCCCAGCGTGGAAGCAGGCCAAGCGTCCGCTGATGGGCAAACGGTGGTCATGGTGTGGCCCATCCACACAATGGAAAATCACTGGCACTTAAGCAAGAAGGAAAATCAGACACAGGCTACGGCCTGGGTGGACCTTGAGGACATGCTGGCTTTCCAGGGGCTGGGGGAGGGGACTTAGAGGGCACAGACTTTAGTTCAGCCAGATGAAAGAGTTCTGGAGACGATGGTGGCGCGGCCTGCACGGCACTGTGAACTCACCTAATGCCACTGAACTGGACACCTGACATGGGCAAAATGGCAAATTTTACATTATGTATATTTTACCACAGTTAAAAAAAACCCAAAAAACTAGAGTTGACATCAGGAATCCATCGTGTCCCTCAGCACCTGTGTCAGGAGTGGATCTCTGTGCCCCTGATATGGACCTGCTCGTGGGTCACGTCATGTGCTCTGCTGAGGGAGCCGCTTTATTTCCGTCACAGCGGGAAGAGGACCCTGCCACCCCTCTCTTCGGCCCTCCGCAGCCACCAGCCTCCCACAAGGGGGTTCCTGGAGTCGAGGGGAGCTCCCTGAGAAAGCCGCACCCCCAGGTCTCAAAGGAGCCCAAAACCTCCTGGAAGCCTCCTGGGGTGCTGTGGTTGTGCCAGGAGTGTCAGGAAGGCCCCCTGTAAGAGGGTGGGTGACAAGTTCTCTCTCCCTCCAGGACAGGTGGGTACACATGAGTTTCTCTTTCTTTGACTGCACCTGCCCCTGAAGCACAGATGCTGGCTCTGAGCCAGATCGATGGACAGATGGACGCACGGCCACCCGCCAGCCTGGCGCCACCTCAACCCTTCCCTGCTGCACGTCCAAGGCTTGACTAACCCGCCCTGCGTTGTCCCCCGCCCTCCGACCCTGGGCAGTAGACCCGCGCCGCTCCCCACCTTCCAGGGGAGACCTGAGGTTCCTACCGGGGAGACAGGCTCTTCACCAAGCTCACGAAGTCGTGCTGGAAGGCGACGGCCTCCACCCTGTCCAGGTCGGAGGCGTGGTGGGACCGGACCAGCAGCAGGCCGGCGCTCCCGCTCAGGGGCACACGAGTGACCGAGAAGTTGTTCTGGGCATCGTTCCAGTGCTGGAAGGTGCCCGTGCCCGAGACCATGGGGACGGACACCGACGTGCTGTTGTCCACCCAGAACTCCTGAGGTCCAGCCAGCAGGGAGAAGCCCTTCATCTTCCCTGAAACCCAGACGGGAGACAGGAGGGGACAGTCAGCAAGCTGGGTGGGTGGCCCTCTCTCCCCGACACGCTGCGGGCCACACCGTTCTCCTGGCCACAGGACCTCACTAGCCCCAGAACCCCCAGGGTAGCTCAAGTGTCCCTCCTGCAAAATCCAGCCCCCAAAGCACTGGAATCTCAGACAAGGTGGCCATGCTCTTGTCTGCTCACCCGGCACATACGGTCACCCTCTTGTCCAGAGGCCACGTCAGCTGGTGTCAGGGAAGCCGCGGGGTTGCACCCCCAGCTCAGAGCACAGCAAGTGCACAGCAAGGGGTGCCCTGGAGCTCAGCGCTGCCTGCTCCTCAGGACAGCCCACGGGGGGCAGGAAGGGGGAGGGTCTACCATGTGAGGGACACCGAGGCCAGTCAAGGTCAAGAAGCCAGGCAGGTCAGGACAAGGTGGTGCAGGCGGATGAGTCGCCTGTCATCTGCAGTCCCCTGCTTCCTCCCACCTCCCCTCCCGGCCCAGCTCTCCAGTCTGGGCCAGCGGGCGGGCACGCTTCCCAAGTGAGACCCCATTTCTCATGCTGGTGGCCCCCTCGCCTCTGCCTTTTGGGAGCAGACCTTCAAAATGGGCTCTCCTCCCAGGTCCCTTGTAGGGACAGTGGCTGAACTGCCATCTGG